ATTTAAATTGTTTCATTTAACTAAAACAACTACATTATGTATTCTGGATTTTTTTCTTCAATTTCAACAAAAGGAAAGAGTGAGCCCCTTACTGAATGAGGGAGGCAACCTAGTAACCTAGTAGGCAACCTAGGCAACCTAGTAACTTTTTCCACATGCTTTTTTTGCCTCCGTCTTCACAGACAAGGTCAGCTCCCAGACTACTGCAGTGGACAGCACAGTATGGGGAGGAGGTGACCAGCCCTTTGTGAAGAAAGAAGTGGTTTGGGACTATTTAGAAAAGCTGCATGAGCACAAGTCCATGGGGCCGGATGCGCTGCATCCGAGGGTGCTAAAGGAGTTGGCGGATGTGATTGCAGAGCCATTGGCCATTATCTTCGAAAACTTATGGCGATCAGGGAGGTCTCGGATGCCTGGAAAAAGGTTAATATAGAGCCCCTCTTTAAAAAAGGGAAGGAGGAGGATCCAGGGAACTACAGGCCAGTCAACCTGACCTCAGTCCCAGGAAAAATCATGGAGCAGGTCCTCAAGGAATCAATTCTGAAGCACTTTGAGGAGAGCAAAGTGATCAGGAACAGTCAGCATGGATTCACCAAGGGCAAGTCATGCCTGACTAACCTAATTGCCTTCTATGACGAGATAACTGGCTCTGTGGATGAGGGGAAAGCGGTGGACGTGTTATTCCTTGACTTTAGCAAAGCTTTTGATATGGTCTCCCACAGTATTCTTGCCAGCAAGTTAAAGTAGTATGGGCTGGATGAATGGACTATAAGGTGGATAGAAAGCTGGCTAGATCATCAGGCTCAATGGGTAGTGGTCAATGGCTCCATGTCTAGTTGGCAGCTGGTATCAAGCGGAGTACCCCAAGGGTTGGTCCTGGGGCAGTTTTGTTCAATATCTTCATAAATGATCTGGAGGATGGCGTGGATTTCACCCTCAACAAGTGTGCAGATGACACTAAACTGGGAGGAGTGGTAGATATGCTGGAAGGTAGGGATAGGATACAGAGGAACCTTGACAAATTAGAGGATTGGGCCAAAAGAAATCTGATGAGGTTCAACAAGGGCAAATGCAGAGTCCTGCACTTAGGACGGAAGAATCCCATGCACTGCTTCAGACTAGGGACCAAGCGGCTAGGCTGCAGTTCTGCAGAAAAGGACCTAGAGGTTACAGTGGACGAGAAGCTGGATATGAGTCAACAGTGTGCCCTTGTTGCCAAGAAGGCTAACGGCATTTTGGGCTGTATAAGTAGAGGCATTGCCAGCAGATCGAGGGACATGATCGTTCCCCTCTATTCGGCATTGGTGAGGCCTCACCTGGAGTACTCTGTCCAGTTTTGGGCCCCACGCTACAAGAAGGATGTGGAAAATTGGAAAGAGTCCAGTGAAGGGCAACAAAAATGATTAGGGGGCTGGAACACATTACTTATGAGGAGAGGATGAGGGAACTAGAATTATTTAGTCTGCACAAAAGAAGAATGAGGGGGGATTTGATAGCTGCTTTCAACTACCTGAAAGAGGGTTCCAAAGAGGATGGATCTAGACTGTTCTCAGTGGTAGCAGATGACAGAACAAGGAGTTATGGTCTCAAGGTGCAGAGGGGGAGGTTTAGGGGATATGAGGAAAAAAATTTTCACTTGGTGGGTGGTGAAGCCTGGAATGTGTTACCTAGGGAGGTGGTGGAATCTCCTTCCTTAGAGGTTTTTAAGGTCAGGCTTGACAAAGCCCTGGCTGGGATGATTTAGTTGGGGATTGGTCCTGCTTTGAGCAGGGGACTGGACTAGATGACTTCCTGAGGTCCCTTCCAAGCCTGATATTCTATGAAACAAGCATATGAATTTTTGAATTTAGTTAAACATTAAGGTTTTTTTTAAATCAAAATAGTTAAATGAAATATTTAAAAAAAAAACAAATTAAATCTACTACATCAGCCAGGTCAACCTGAGAAACTTAAATTATTGGCTTGTGCAGCTAACTCAGTCATCTTCACCTTCATTTTCCTGTTTCTTCATAATCTGGAAAAGAAAAACAAACCTTCCTGCTTTTTCAGGTCCCAAACAATTTCTCAATTTGGAATGAATTAGTCCAAAGGAAGAAAATATTCTTTCTACACCTGCAGAAGAAACTACTGCTGTTAAAAGTGAGATGATCACTTCAACAGTCTCTGAATCCAGGTGCTTAAGTGATTTCCACCAGTTCACTGGTGTGACTTTCTTTAAAACGTCATCAGCAAACATATATTTCTTGAATGGTTCACCCTTAGATCTGAAGTTTATTATAGTTGGCTTTATGGAGGGATGATTGTTGGATGTCCATGTGATAGCCAACTCCTCTTCTTCAGCAGTTAAGATTTGACCCTGGTACCGAGTATTGAGAATATTTGCAAGAAAATGAGCTGTAGATAGTGCTTGTCCCATTCGTTTTTTTAATGCTTGTAATTTAACTCTGTCATTGCATATGTCTCTTTTTAAGATCTCACTCAGTTCCTTCCAAATTTCAACAGCATTAGCAATAAAACAGCTATTTCCCTGCATTTTGTTCAAGGCAACAGAAATAGGCTTCAGGGTATTCAGCATGTGTTCAACATTTCTCTTAAGCCCAATGTTGAGAATGTTGAGAACTTTGGCTGTGACGGTGCTATCTATTTTTTCACAATTTTGTTCACAAACTGTCATCTGATTAGGCCAGTTCTTGATATAGTGCCTAAAACAGTCCACTACTGAGTTCCATCACACGTCTTGTGGGAGAGTTAGCTTGGTTCCTCCCACTTTTTTCAAAGCAGCTGCTGCAAAGTGGTTGTTACGGAAGTACTTTGAAATTTCAACAACATGAGCCTTTATTTCTGGAACACTGAAGCTTTTGACTAGGAGGCACATCAAATGAGACCCCAAGCGTATATTATTAGCTTGGAACTCTCTTCACTCTCTCCTAAATAATTTTGTCTCATCTTGGATACATTTACAGCATTGTCTGTGGCACATACAACAGGATCATTGTGGACATTGCTCCACCTATCAAGACTCAGGTTAACAATTTTATCCTCTAGACCTTTTGCACTCTGCTCAATTTCTCTTTCATACATTTTATCCAGCAATTTGCGTGCTATATCAGCTCTGTTCGGTGGACTGTGTCCTGGTCTTAATGACTGAACCATGTTAATGAAGTGTGGGTTCTCAGTTATACGGAAAGGAGAGTTTGTTGCATAAACAAGCTGGGCAATTTTTTCGTCAATTACCTCTTTTTGTAATCTGCTGGTTCTTATCACAAACTTATCTATGGTTGTTTCTGGATGATGGAGATTTTTTTTTCTTTTTGTTGCAGGTCATATACTGTAGCTATGTGACATACGTGTTGTGACCGAAACACTATAATTGCCAGATAACTCTGAAACGGTAGAAAATGAGGGTGATCTTGAAGGTGGATAGTCTTCAGAATCCTGTATGTTGAGGATGGATTCTCCTAAACAAAATAAGTCAATGCAATTATTTAATTATTACCATACTGCTCATTTAGTATTAGTCATTGCATTCACTGACACTCAGTACTACTTTAAAGGTGAAATTGTAAAAGGAAGATCTGCCAATTTCAGCTATTTATTTTTTATCACAACTGCATCTAAAATGATAGTACCATAGAGTAACAAGTATATTTTTTGTAAACATGAGAATTCAAGAATAGTCCAGAAGGAAGACAGGCAGTCCTTAAGAAAGAAGGATGAAATGAAAACAAAATTTACCAACCTGAAGGTAGATCCTGCATGTTCACACATGTTCCCTTCATCTTCAACAGCAGCTTCCTCCTGAGAAGGAACACTTCTCATGATGATGTTTCATTCGGAAAACCAGGCCTTGCATTTCTTTTTTGAACTGTTTAAATTTTGCACCCATGCCTATCTTACCCACGGGTAGAGGAACTTCATTAAAATATTCCCAAACTGGGGGTCTCTTACGGCCTGCTGCCATTATAGGTTTTCCCTTCTAGCGAGAAAATGGTATGGTAGATCTCAAATCAATGAAGGCTACACTCAGAAAGACCTCAAGACTTCTGGAATATGCTGCTCAAACAGTTTCACGTTTGTTTCCACTGCCTGCCCCTCCCTTCTTACATTTATCTCCAGACTTTTTCTCCTTTTTCAGATCTAATCTGCCCCCAGCAATTCTTCTATTTTGAAACTTTGCACTTTTAGAGAGAGGTAAGGGATTGACTCTGTGTACACAAATTTGCAAAGGGACAATAGGGTTGAGGTCTGTTATTTCTCACATCTACCTATCTACCTATCTCTCTACCTACCTATCAACATTTTTGCTGTTAACAAGCACATTATCTCTGGAGACACAAATCCACAGTTTGAGAACTACAAAACTAAGCATCTCTGATGGTATCTTCTAGACTGAGCACTGAGTCCCATTGAGTTGATAGAAAGATTAACCTAAATAATCTATACAGAAGCCTCTGGAACCCAATAAGATTGGGTCCGTAATCCATGAAGTATTGAAACTCATTTACAAAACTTTTCTTAAACATCACATGAGTATATTGTCTCATACAATAAATTAGGATTTATAATCTCCATTCCATGATGAGGTACCTTTGAGCTATAATCTATCTTTAGATAGGTTTTTCCCTCAAAAAGCATTTTATCAAACAAGTCTGATTTAAATAAAAAATAAGTTTTAAATAAAAATAATTTAAATAAGAAAGCTTATGCTCAAATAAATTGGTTAGTCTCTAAGGTGCCACAAGTACTCCTTTTTTTAAAAAAGGTGAGTTGTCTGAAATTAGAGAAGTTCTTCATAGTAAGTGATATAATGTTCTCATAGCAGCTTCTGGGTTTTTTATCCATTCATTTAGATGACCACTAGTAGTCGGTTCTTGTGTTTGACAGTTACATGCTGTAGTTTAACTGTCTGGGTGGCAATGGGTTGGCGTAAAATTTAAAAATGTCCATAGAACCAATTTTATTTAAATTTGACCATCATTTTCTCACTCTCTGGTTTGCAGGAACCAATAAAATCCCGTGCCCCTCAGCTTCATTTAGAGTACAGGTTTTATAAACAGCTCGGCAGTGCAGGTAAGTGAGTTTTTCCTCTCGTCTCATACAGAATGCTTATGCCTGGTTTTCAAGCAAATATTGCTGTAATAATAACTGATGTTTGTGGCACATGACTGTCATTTGAAAACTTTATATGGGGCAAATGAATCAGGCCTACCAGTAGCAATCTTTTAGAAGAGATTTTACTGGAATAGTAATTTAGCAGCATGATAAATAAATCCTATGACATTAAAACCTTATAAAGTGACCCACACCCTCCTCTTGTGTAATCTGGGCTATCCAACCGCTGATAATCGCTATGCTTGGTGAATTTGATAACTGCAGATGAGGGTCATAAATCCATAGACGGTGATTGTGTTTGTAATACATGGGGACCTTCACTGATCTAAAAACAATCTAGAACCAATTTACTTTGTACATACCTATGTACAAAGAACTGTAGTATGTCAAGGCACACTCCAGGACTTTCAGTGTTCTGTAACATTCCCACGTGGGATATTACTTCATGGCAAACTGATGTGCTGTAGGTTCACATCCTGGTTTGCTATGCAGTAGCTTGCTCTGTAGACAAGCCCTATCTTGAGGCCTCTGTGCTGTGCTGAGAACTAGGGTAGGAATACAGAATCTGTTCGCAAGAATACACCACTTCTAAATATATTCTGATGTACAAGAAATATTCAGGACTAATTTTGATGATAGTTCATTGACTTAGGGTTTTATATTAAATTTTAAACAATTAATCACTGCTTGGATTACTTCATTGATTGAAGTGCAAACTGCCTTTAGCTTCTAGTGAATGACTCATCTGACCTGTGGTGGCCTCTGCTGGACAACTCTGGCTCTTCTGAGGTCTGCCTCAAATTTCCCCTTAACTCAGGCTTTCTTAAAAAGTCCACACAATATAGATATTCAAAACATTTCCCCTCCTAGGGTCCAATTTATTAAGTCCTGTACCAAGTCTTCTAAAGAAAACTTTTATAAAGTCTTCATTCCAGTTTCGGCTGTGCCCAGCCCCTCTTCCCTTAAAGTCTTTAAGATTTCATTTTTCACCCCAGTCACAATCTGGGCACAGCCTGTTCTTTTTAATGGTCTGTCTTCCCTTCAGAGTTCAAACACTCTTCTGTTCCGGTTCCAAGCTGGGCATAGCCCTTTCTGCCTGAGGGTCTGTCTTCTGCTCTCCCAGCAGCTGTTCCCTATTGGTCAGCCTTCTCCACAGCCCTTCTGTGCTGGTATCTTCTACCTGTTATCTTAGAGCCCTACACAGGAGCCTTCTTACTCCCTGAAGCATTGGCAGACATCTGCCACCAACCCACCACTGTCTGTCTCCCCCATATAAGGCTCACGTGCCTTCCCTTAAACCCAGCTGGGAAACAGGTAATCAGACCCAATGCACTGGACCCTGCTCCCTTTCTTTCAAGGGCCATTCACTCTGACAACTTTCAATAAGCAGAAGAGTTTGCTTTTGTAAGTTTAAAAAAGTAGACTTGTAGATGGAAGGCTTACCAAGGTAAGTGATGTGTGTCCAAGAGGTGGGTACACACTTCAGTCACAGGGCATGTACAACAATAAATAAATTGGATGTTTTCCATATTAAAGCTTAGTCTACACTTAAGTTTTGCTGGCATAGCTATGCAGTTAGAAGGTGGAAAAAAATGATATCCCAAACTGACTTAGCTATGCCAGCAAAAGCCCTTGTGTAGACAGTTATACCAGCAAAAAATTGCTTTTGCTGGTGAAGTTTATGTACTTCATGGAACTGGTATAAGAACTCTGTTACAGGTGTAAGCTCTCTTCCCACTGAAAGGATTTGCTGGTATAGGAATAGCCTAGATAAGGCCTAAATTTGTTTTCCTTTTTTATATGTAGCATTTGTGGTTGGGGCCAGCTGTGGAATTGGAATTCAGGTGTATGTGTTAGGAACAGGGCAAATATTGAAGTTTCATGTCCCATCAGCTTTTTAATAAGGCACTTCTAATATTGGAGCGCATCTAGAGGTTAAAAAGACCATTAAATAGAACACAACACATTAAAAGGAGGACCAACTCTTAAAAAACTTATTTCTCTGCTTCCAAATTACTAGAAATGTTGTGAGAAATCCAATATAGAGGCAGAGTGAATGCTTTCTAGATCTTTGTTTTGTTGATAAACCAGACTTATAGCTTCAGCCCTATTACTGAGGAATTGTGAAAACACACTTATTTCCCTTGGGGATTCTCTATCCCTATTCCACAGAATTAAATTTCCAGCATACAAATCAGATGGCAAAGAATTATCTTCTTAGTTTTTTTTTTAAATAGAAGCATATTCTGGAGTTTTTTGACTACATAAACTGGACAAGCACAGTATGTGGTCATTTAAAATGTGCAGGCAAAGTAGCCACACTCTTAATTTCTGCCAGAAGGCAAAAAGTTTGTACTGCTGTATTCGTTTTGACGGAGGTTCAACAATCCGATCAGACGCTACTGAAAGCAGTAATGGGCGGCAGAAATTACTCTTGTCCTAACAGTGTTGTTGTGCAAAAGAATGGTTATTTCAAAATTCCTACCTCTGTGCAGCTAAATATTTTATCTCTAGGCTACCTAGATAAAATTTCCAGGAAGGTCAGAGCACCAGCAGCTGGAAGAAGGTGTGCATGAAAGAACAGAGATGCTGTTGCTTCAAAGTGGCAGCTCTGTCAACTGCTTTGCATCCCTTTTCATTGAAGGGATTGAGGCAGGGGTTATCCATTGTAACTTTTGGCTGCTGCTGCAGCCTCAAGGAAGAACTAATTTATGATGCAGCAGCAGACACAAACCAAAATTAAAGTTTTTACATACTTTTCCTGAAGAGGGCCTCAAAATGCAGCTGTTTAAAATGACTGTTGTGGCTGGGTTGGTCTTTTTTAATGTTTTTTACTATTGCTGTGTATGAAGTAGTTTAAATTCCTATATTCGTAGAAATTCGAGGTAGAAGAGCCCCCTTAAAACATCTGAGCCATCTTTCTGCTGATGCAGGATTGTTCTCTACAGAAGATCATTTTGTCCAGTCTAGTTTTTAAATGTCTCAAGTAATGAGGCTTCCAACTCTTCCTTTGGTATACTATTTCATATCCCAATTTATCTGTCAGAACAAGTGCCAGCTTCCTCCTTTCTTCGGGGGTGCTCAACCCCCACTCTGGCTCAGGACCGCCACCACTCCACCCCTTCCTCAATCCCCCACCCTGCCCCACCTCTTCCTGGATAACTTCCCCCCTCCCCCCAGTGCCTCCTGCACACCACAGAACAGCTGATCGTGGCAGACGGGAGGCGCTGGGAGGGAGCGGGGAGGAATTGATCCCCGGGTCCGTCGGTGGGCGGGAGGCGCTGACGGGGAGGGAGGGAGGGAGTTGGCTGCCGGTGGGTACTAAGCACCCACTGTTTTTTTTCCGTGGGTGTTCTAGCCCACTAAGTCTGTGCCTATTTCTGTTAGGATTTGTTTCCCAGTATTTAGCCTAAATTTTATAGATTTCTTATAATGCACACCACTGAGCGATGTAAGTTACATTGACCTAAGTACCCGTGTGGACAATGCTATGTTGGGGAGAGAGCTTCTCCCACTGAAATAGATACCACCTCTTGTGGAGGTGGAGTTGTCATGCTGATGGGAGAGCTCTATCCCGTTGGCATCTTCACCAGATGTGCTACAGCAGCTGCAGTGCTGTAGCACTTCTAGTGTAGACTAGCCTTCAAATGACCCCACATTTGGATCACTTCCCTACCCTTTACTCCCGTGAGGTATAGCAAATTTCAAAACAATTGGTGTAAATCTACAGATTTTAGGTCACTTAGCAGAGTTGTCTTTTGAACAAGAGGGGCTTCCCCTCCTCAGCTAGAGCAGAGGTGGTACTTCAGTGTAATACCCCCAACTCACATTGCTTTCCAAGAGAGTTCTGCAGCTCAGCACCAGAGGCATTGTCGCAAGTATGAGTGCACAGAAGTAATTCTTGAAAAACAGGTTTCAGAGTAACAGCCGTGTTAGTCTGTCTTTGAAAAAAGAAAAGGAGTACTTGTGGCACCTTAGAGACTAACCAATTTATTTGAGCATGAGCTTTCGTGAGCTACAGCTCACTTCATCGGATGCATACTGTGGAAACTGCAGTAGACATTATATACACACAGAGACCATGAAACAATACCCCCTCCCACCCCACTGAGCTGTAGCTCACGAAAGCTCATGCTCAAATAAATTGGTTAGTCTCTAAGGTGCCACAAGTACTCCTTTTCTTCTTGAAAAACAGTTACCAGTAAGTAATTAACCCTTTTCTTGGAGCACTTCCTTTGGTCACTGCTAGCTCCCTACTGTTTCCCTTGTCCCTCTTACAGTAATGTTTTCCCAGTATGCCTTTCTAGGACTGCCCCTTTAAATTTGCCAAATAGGTGCGGCCCTGAAGTGGCCGTCGTGCAGTTTACTTCTGCTTGCTGCAGCTCTCTGCTTGCAAGCTGGTAAGTATCTTTTTTTCTTCAGCTTTTTTTGTCTTTGTTGAGTGAAACCTTTAGTGGTAAGGTGACCAGATGTCCCATTTTTGGGGATTTTTTTGTATATAGGCACCTATTACTCCCAACTCCCATCCCATTTTTTCACAGTTGCTGTCTGGTCACCCTATCTAGTGGCCTACAACCTTTTTGTTTTTCTTTCTGCCATTTTACCTCAGTGTAGATAGTCATATGAAAGTCCTTGTTTCTAGTCTGTACTCAACTGGCTAGTTCACATAGCCTCCTACAAAAGGAGCTACTTTTCCTTCTGTCTTTATAAAGGGCAGAGTGTGAGAGGTGTGGCTGCCAGAGGCAGTTGGACTAATTTGTGTTTAATAACCTCTATGCAAACTAACCATATTTACTTTTCCTTCAACGTTGATCTTAGAAGGAGTGGCCTGTCAAAAAACTGCATCAACATGACTATATCTGAAAGAGGGGAAAAAAGCCTTTTAAATGATCTCTCCCTATAGCTCAGTAGTGTGAGCCTGAATGAATGCTTGTGAGCATGTATCCTACGTAAAGGAT